TTCTAGCAGGAACATTGTGAGCATGTCTGTTTTACATCTGGTACATTGTCAGCACATGTATATTCTAGCAGGAACATTGTGAGCATGTCTGTTTTACATCTGGTACATTGTCAGCACATGTATATTCTAGCAGGAACATTGTGAGCATGTCTGTTTTACATCTGGTACACATTGTCAGCACATGTGTATTCTAGCAGGAACATTGTGAGCATGTCTGTTTTACATCTGGTACATTGTCAGCACATGTATATTCTAGCAGGAACATTGTGAGCATGTCTGTTTTACATCTGGTACATTGTCAGCACATGTATATTCTAGCAGGAACATTGTGAGCATGTCTGTTTTACATCTGGTACATTGTCAGCACATGTATATTCTAGCAGGAACATTGTGAGCATGTCTGTTTTACATCTCGGTACATTGTCAGCACATGTATATTCTAGCAGGAACATTGTGAGCATGTCTGTTTTACATCTGGCACATTTTGGGCACATGTGTATTGGAGCAGGAACATTGTGAGAACGTCTGTCTTACATCATGGTACATTGTCAGCACATGTATATTCTAGCAGGAACATTGTGAGCATGTCTGTTTTACATCTGGTACATTGTCAGCACATGTATATTCTAGCAGGAACATTGTGAGCATGTCTGTTTTACATCTGGTACATTGTCAGCACATGTGTATTCTAGCAGGAACATTGTGAGCATGTCTGTTTTACATCTGGTACATTGTCAGCACATGTGTGTATTCTATCAGGAACATTGTGAGCATGTCTGTTTTACATCTGGTACATTGTCAGCACATGTATATTCTAGCAGGAACATTGTGAGCATGTCTGTTTTACATCTGGTACATTGTCAGCACATGTGTATTCTAGCAGGAACATTGTGAGCATGTCTGTTTTACATCTGGTACATTGTCAGCACATGTATATTCTAGCAGGAACATTGTGAGCATGTCTGTTTTACATCTGGTACATTGTCAGCACATGTATATTCTAGCAGGAACATTGTGAGCATGTCTGTTTTACATCTGGTACATTGTCAGCACATGTATATTCTAGCAGGAACATTGTGAGCATGTCTGTTTTACATCTGGTACATTGTCAGCACATGTATATTCTAGCAGGAACATTGTGAGCATGTCTGTTTTACATCTGGTACATTGTCAGCACATGTATATTCTAGCAGGAACATTGTGAGCATGTCTGTTTTACATCTGGTACATTGTCAGCACATGTATATTCTAGCAGGAACATTGTGAGCATGTCTGTTTTACATCTGGTACATTGTCAGCACATGTGTATTCTAGCAGGAACATTGTGAGCATGTCTGTTTTACATCTGGTACATTGTCAGCACATGTATATTCTAGCAGGAACATTGTGAGCATGTCTGTTTTACATCTGGTACATTGTCAGCACATGTATATTCTAGCAGGAACATTGTGAGCATGTCTGTTTTACATCTGGTACATTGTCAGCACATGTATATTCTAGCAGGAACATTGTGAGCATGTCTGTTTTACATCTGGTACATTGTCAGCACATGTGTATTCTAGCAGGAACATTGTGAGCATGTCTGTTTTACATCTGGTACATTGTCAGCACATGTGTATTCTAGCAGGAACATTGTGAGCATGTCTGTTTTACATCTGGTACATTGTCAGCACATGTATATTCTAGCAGGAACATTGTGAGCATGTCTGTTTTACATCTGGTACATTGTCAGCACATGTATATTCTAGCAGGAACATTGTGAGCATGTCTGTTTTACATCTGGTACATTGTCAGCACATGTATATTCTAGCAGGAACATTGTGAGCATGTCTGTTTTACATCTGGTACATTGTCAGCACATGTATATTCTAGCAGGAACATTGTGAGCATGTCTGTTTTACATCTGGTACATTGTCAGCACATGTATATTCTAGCAGGAACATTGTGAGCATGTCTGTTTTACATCTGGTACATTGTCAGCACATGTATATTCTAGCAGGAACATTGTGAGCATGTCTGTTTTACATCTGGTACATTGTCAGCACATGTATATTCTAGCAGGAACATTGTGAGCATGTCTGTTTTACATCTGGTACATTGTCAGCACATGTGTATTCTAGCAGGAACATTGTGAGCATGTCTGTTTTACATCTGGTACATTGTCAGCACATGTGTATTCTAGCAGGAACATTGTGAGCATGTCTGTTTTACATCTGGTACATTGTCAGCACATGTATATTCTAGCAGGAACATTGTGAGCATGTCTGTTTTACATCTGGTACATTGTCAGCACATGTATATTCTAGCAGGAACATTGTGAGCATGTCTGTTTTACATCTGGTACATTGTCAGCACATGTATATTCTAGCAGGAACATTGTGAGCATGTCTGTTTTACATCTGGTACATTGTCAGCACATGTATATTCTAGCAGGAACATTGTGAGCATGTCTGTTTTACATCTGGTACATTGTCAGCACATGTATATTCTAGCAGGAACATTGTGAGCATGTCTGTTTTACATCTGGTACATTGTCAGCACATGTATATTCTAGCAGGAACATTGTGAGCATGTCTGTTTTACATCTGGTACATTGTCAGCACATGTATATTCTAGCAGGAACATTGTGAGCATGTCTGTTTTACATCTGGTACATTGTCAGCACATGTATATTCTAGCAGGAACATTGTGAGCATGTCTGTTTTACATCTCGTACATTGTCAGCACATGTATATTCTAGCAGGAACATTGTGAGCATGTCTGTTTTACATCTGGTACATTGTCAGCACATGTATATTCTAGCAGGAACATTGTGAGCATGTCTGTTTTACACATCTGGTACATTGTCAGCACATGTGTATTCTAGCAGGAACATTGTGAGCATGTCTGTTTTACATCTGGTACATTGTCAGCACATGTATATTCTAGCAGGAACATTGTGAGCATGTCTGTTTTACATCTCGTACATTGTCAGCACATGTATATTCTAGCAGGAACATTGTGAGCATGTCTGTTTTACATCTGGTACATTGTCAGCACATGTGTATTCTAGCAGGAACATTGTGAGCATGTCTGTTTTACATCTGGTACATTGTCAGCACATGTATATTCTAGCAGGAACATTGTGAGCATGTCTGTTTTACATCTGGTACATTGTCAGCACATGTATATTCTAGCAGGAACATTGTGAGCATGTCTGTTTTACATCTGGTACATTGTCAGCACATGTATATTCTAGCAGGAACATTGTGAGCATGTCTGTTTTACATCTGGTACATTGTCAGCACATGTATATTCTAGCAGGAACATTGTGAGCATGTCTGTTTTACATCTGGTACATTGTCAGCACATGTGTATTCTAGCAGGAACATTGTGAGCATGTCTGTTTTACATCTGGTACATTGTCAGCACATGTGTATTCTAGCAGGAACATTGTGAGCATGTCTGTTTTACATCTGGTACATTGTCAGCACATGTGTATTCTAGCAGGAACATTGTGAGCATGTCTGTTTTACATCTGGTACATTGTCAGCACATGTGTATTCTAGCAGGAACATTGTGAGCATGTACATCTGGTACATTGTGGGCACATGTGTATTCTAGCAGGAACATTGTGAGCATGTCTGTTTTACATCTGGTACATTTGGGGCACATGTGTATTCTAGCAGGAACATTGTGAGCATGTACATCTGGTACATTGTCAGCACATGTGTATTGGAGCAGGAACATTGTGAGCATGTCTGTTTTGCATCTGGTACATTTTGGGCACATGTGTATTCTAGCAGGAACATCGCGAGCATGTACATCTCGTACATTGTCAGCACATGTGTATTGGAGCAAGAACATTGTGAGCATGTCTGTTTTACATCTGGTACATTGTCAGTGTATATGCAAGAACACAACTCCAAAACTCGCATTGACAGGGATTTATTAAAGTTACGCTTTTCGGTAGTCGTTGACAAGTCATTGGTTAATTATCGTTGACATGACTCGGTCCATCGATGAGGTTTAAGAAACTAAAAGAAACAAAATGATTCTTTTAGATAATACATTACTTACTGCACTTAAATATAACTTTTCTGAATTTTCAAATATAGGATTTCATGATTATCAAATATAGCTATTCAAAATTGTTAGGTAAAACGTTTGAAGATTGTCAGACAATGCATTTCAGTAACGTGCTTCAATAACAGCTTTCTATCAAATTACACAATAATAATGGTCAAAATATTCCAAATGATAACTCCAACAACATATACTATTCAAATGTCATATAAAGTTACACAATGTATGATTAAAAGCACTCACATTTGTGTTGCTATACAGGGAGGTTTGCAGACAGCCAAGTGACCTTGTGGATAGCACAGTAAATCAGCCTTGCATGAAGATTTTGTGCAAAGGTTATGGTCATGTGACCATCAATAATGAAAGTGAGGCTATATATTTACTGATTAAATTTAGAAAAGTTTTTGCCATTACACTGGATTTGAAACCTAGCACTTTGGATCACAAGTCTAATGTGTTAACCATTAGGCCACCATACAAGACACTCATACATGCCTGGTTTAACAATGCTGAACATTACCGAATATAACATAACTTGTATTTAGCATTAACAGTCAGCATATGTGTATTTGAGCAGAAACATTGTGAGAACGTCTGTTTTACATCGGGTACATTTGGGGCACATGTGTATTCTAGCAGGAACATTGTGAGAACGTCTGTTTTACATCTAGTACATTTGTGGGCACATGTGTATTTGAGCAGGAACATTGTGAGAACGTCTGTTTTACATCTGGTACATTTGGGGCACATGTGTATTCTAGCAGGAACATTGTGAGCATGTCTGTTTTACATCTGGTACGTTATCAGCACATGTGTATTTGAGCAGGAACATTGTGAGAACGTCTGTTTTACATCTAGCACATTTGGGGCACATGTGTATTCTAGTAAGGACATTGAAGATTTTGACGTTACATTTTCACCCGTTTATTAAACAGATGCACAAAGCAAGATGCCGTCATCGGGCAGTTCACCATTGAGAAGTTGAATGACGTTGATGTAGCCTGGGCTCCCCTGTACGGCTTCAAGTTCGTCAACTACCCCGACTCCGACCTCATCATTGACTGCACGGTGCTCGTGTGTTCCGGCAACATCGTCGCTCCGTACAGGAAGATGCATGGTAATAGCAATAGTTCAAGGAAGAAAGGTCCTAAATGTTTACCACTTCGGTCAAACCCACGAGCCCCGGTGTTTCGCTGACAACATTAGAAACATACTCAGGCGAACTGGGATTCGAACCCACAATAATTATTTACTGACAACCTAAGGGGCATCTTAGACTGGACCACTCGTGCTTTACAGATGTGTGTTAATGTCAAATATCCAACACAACACAGATCGCTATTCTGTCTCACAGTCCCTGAATCACATTATTTTCCCTAACGAAGCAAGTCCAGATTTCCCAAGGTTCAGGAATTTCCCATCTCACTGAGGATCCTTTTCACTCTAAATGGGTCTATTATATTCCGAGACTAAGCGTCAGTCCATATAGATGACCTGCAACACATGGCTGTGTAAGTTTCAAGTCGTACTTGAGAGGATGTAGAACACACTTGACATGGGTACATGATGCCCACAGTTGGTCCACTGTCTCAGATTGTGAGGACACATGCACTCATGAGTGGAGATGACAGAGCGGAACTGTGCGCTCGTCGTCAGTCGACTGAAGAGGTCATCAAGATATCAACCTCTGTCACGTGACTGACTTAGTGGCATGGTGCCCCGATATCGCCAATTTGCTCACGCCCTCCCTCAGTCACGGGTTTGTCCGGTCCAAAATCAAGCATTTACGTATACACGCCTTGGTGATGCAACATGTATTTGTTCACTGTAGTGTTTAACACCAGTCACTTATACCCCCATTCCACAGAGATTTCTGGCTCATCGGTCACTCATTGGAAGCAAAGGTTTTCTTCCTTCCGGTAACCCACCGAAGAGTATCGTATCACAGTGTGATGAATCCGATTTGTGTTTGTCAGGTCAGTGTCCGATGTGTCGGGCGTGATCCGATGGGGCGAATTCGTCCGATGAAAGAACTAAGCTCAGAGCTTAGGTCGCCATCGGATCAGTGTCGGATGAATGTCGAGTCAGTCCGATGTGTGTCGGATTCGTGTTGTGCAAGTATCGGACGTGTCTAGCCGACGTCTGACGGCAATCTGATAAGTGTCCGAGATTAACAGTCACCTGACGCTCATCTGATTACAATCTGCGGTCTTCCCAACGCTCCTGATAGCCGCCCATCACCAATTCGATTCTCCTCGGATGGTAACATGATATTTAGCACCGTCCGATTGCTAACCGTTTTGACATCAGAGGGCAATCGCTCATTAACTCAACTTCCATCCGACACATATCGCACATCAAGCGGTGACATCTGACGGCCAACGGACTACAAAGGGAGGGTCAGCCGACACTCAGTCTGCAGATTTCCATCGGACCAAGATCCTGAAGATGGGTCCAAGAAAGAACAGAAATGTTCGAGGACAGAAGGCAAAGAAGTGACTTCACAGCACCCCTCAACAATCTTGAAGTTCCAGAAGATTCTCCTGTGCCTCCTCCTCCTCCTCCTGAAGATGCAGAAGATAACGACGTGGCCTTCTATGCCTACTTCTCAGCCTACTTCTCAGCCTTCTTCTCAGCACCTCAAGGGTCATTGCATCTGTTGCATAGTGTGTTGCTGCAGCACAAACACAAAGCCCAGGGCCGCAGTGTAGCGGGGACGGTGATCCATGACAGGTACCGTCAGGAGGTGCAGCCCGCTTTAACACTGCTGAAGGGGTCGTTGTCGGCACAGGCACTACAGATACGTACCCCAGGTACGGTACTGTATACACATATGTACCCTAAACAAAGTCAAAATACAGAAACGTACCCGGTACCGTAAAAGGCGGACGAGTCCATATTCTGCAATCCAAAACCGAAACCGCATGTAGGTGTTCCCGTTCAACTGATTGCGATTGGTATTCATATGCATCGCGAAATATCCGTCACTGTGTATTCTCAGTACTTAGATAACGCAATCAAATGTATCTAATACAACAGCATGACAGATCCGATCAAGAATACGAAACAATGGGAAGGGAATCGTCCTAAGGTACGTTTATGTATTCCCATTATGGCCAGGGTACATATCTGTATTACCCGTGCCGACAACCCCTTCAGCTTTAATACTCGACTGCCGATTTTGGCGACAAATCCGACCAGTATTGAGACAGTGTCCGATTATCCTACGAATAGTAACTGATTTGTGGGATTGGTGAGAGATGCTGGGAGTGTCAGATTAGTGTCAGGTCACTCTCGAATTTCAATCCGACCGCAATCGGATCAGTCGGACGCCACCGATGACTATGGCGGACATACATCGGGCCGCTACCAGTCTTTCATCCGATTAACCCGATCAATGTTGGATCTCTATCGGATTTTACGGAAAAAGGGGATCCCCAAAAAAGGATGTCGGGTTAATGTTCACTGGAACTAATCGGAACGCTGACATTTTCGCAAAATTGGGTTCAGATGGGCTTCATATGAGGTTCTGATGGTCAGTGGTATGGGGATGTTACAGACACAGTCTGCTTCTGGTACGAGGAGATGTTTTAACTGAACGATCAGTGAATGCGATCAATGAATAATCAACTAATAACAATCAAACGTCTTTGTGTCAAAAACGGTTGTCCCGAGGCGGAAGCCGGCTCCCTGCTTATTCCTTTTTAGTCACAATATCGCAGTTGTATCGAACCTCGGTTAGCTCGATGTTTTCAGTATTTATACACGCTGGGTTAGGTTACAAACTTTGTGGCAGTGCAACCACGAAATAGTCACGGTCGAATATTTCAGGAATAGTGTTGAAAGGTAGCAGGAATTCGCTGTTTTCAGAGTACTTAGGAAACCGCTCAGGTCGACAAAAGTCATCAAATCGCCACATTCCCGCTCTATAGACGTACATGCAGCTATCTAGAACCTACCACATTCCCGCTCTATAGACGTACATGCAGCTATCTAGAACCTACCACATTCCCGCTCTATAGACGTACATGCAGCTATCTAGAACCTACCACATTCCCGCTCTATAGACGTACATGCAGCTATCTAGAACCTACCACATTCCCGCTCTATAGACGTACATGCAGCTATCTAGAACCTACCACATTCCCGCTCTATAGACGTACATGCAGCTATCTAGAACCTACCACATTCCCGCTCTATAGACGTACATGCAGCTATCTAGAACCTACCACATTTCCGCTCTATAGACGTACATGCAGCTATCTAGAACCTACCACATTCCCGCTCATAACGTATTCCCGCTCTATAGACGTACATGCAGCTATCTAGAAACCTATAGACGTACATGTAGCTATCTAGAACCTACCACATTCCCGCTCTATAGACGTACATGCAGCTATCTAGAACCTACCACATTCCCGCTCTACATTCCTAGAGAACCACTCTATAGACATCCCGCTCTATAGACGTACATGCAGCTATCTAGAACCTACCACATTCCCGCTCTACAGACGTACGTACAGCTATCTACAACCTACCACATTGCCGCTCTATGTACGTGCAGCTATCTAGAACCTACCACATTAAGCCTGGCACAATCTCTACTGTCATATGATATCATGCCATTTGTTTACACATGTCAACAGCACCAGCAAACTTTCTTTCTGAAAGAACACACCCAAGTGTCACTGCATGTTTTCATGGTTGGTTGGTTGTTTAACGCCGCACTCAGCAATATCCCAGCTGTATGGCGGCGGTCTGTAAATAATCCAGTCTGGACCAGACAGTCCAGTGATCAGCATCATGAGCATCGATCTACGCAACTGGGATACGATGGCATGTGTCAACCAAGTCAGCGAACCTGACTACCCGATCCCGTTAGTGACTTCGTCGACTCGTACGACAAACATAGGTGACTGAAGACCAATTCTAACCCGGATCTTGACGGGTTGCATGGTTTGACTTATCGGGGGTGAATCATAAATATTAAGAAAGAAACATTAAATATTCACGTAAGTACCCATACGTATACAAATCACCTCTTGGAATGTCCACATTAAAGTACTGTCGGAAATAGAAAAAAACTGGGGGTTTTCGCATTGATATCTACAATTTATGTAGTTAATATGTGTAAGTGTGAAATATGTGTTAAACTAGGTTCGGCCTAACTACAGTCTCAGTGGTAGGGAGATAGGAAACGTAGAAAAAGGATTTTACTGAGGAGAGATTAGTGCAGAAATGAGAAATGCGGGTTTTTTCTAAGTCCAAAGCGACTTATTTGGAACAGACCATGGCTTTATGCAAATTAGTGTGTGATGATATTATATTACAAAGGACAATTTTTAAAAGTCCATTTTGAAATTAAACTTAGCTTCATTATAAACGATAGCTGATGTAAAAAATAATAACTTTAATACTGAAACTATGAAGGATGTAGCTACCATGGAGTCTCACTATCACTATACAAAGAAACAGGTAGGAGGGGTCGTCTCAAAAGCGAATCCAGGACAGGTGTCGTAGACGGTGGTTTGGGTCGGGCTGGGGGATAGAGATATAAGCTGAGATAAGATAATGCTTTAGGGGAATTAAACTGGGAAGCAAACGGCATGTCATAACAATTTACAAATAATATCCAGTCCTGTCGATCTTCGGGTGGTCATGCCACCTATATATTTGGAGACATTTAATACCATGGCTGATTTAAGCTTTTCCATGGGTATCATACCATTTTACGTATCTCAACATAAACTTTATGATCAATAGATGAGACATATTCAACACACATGAAAAAGCATAAAATATCTTTGAGATAACCCCTTGTGCCTGTAGGCAGGACGTGCATTTCATGCCAGGTGAGTTGACGGTCCGTCGTCATACCTTCCTGAGCCACCTAATTGCCATCTATAGTCCGATCTATTGTTTTGAGCAGCTATTCGTATTTTTCGTAAGTTTTGCCCGATTTTACGAGTAAACATGCTTTTCTGGATATACTATTATGCATCCCACTGAATGTCCAGTTAGGTCGATGTGGGTTATTTCGATATATATGCTATTTGTAACTTTGTCAGTTTTAGGGATACGGGGTAACAGCCTAAAACAGGGTTTTTTTCTATTTCCGACAGTACTTTAGTATCTTGAATGTTCAAAACAACTTTTGAAATAGTCACGTTGAAGATCTTTTCTCGAATATTCGGAATTTTAATTATTCGTGTGTTAGACAGAGGACGAAAAATTCCTGTCATACTTAAAGTAAACTAAATACAACCCGATTCGTGAATAATGTACGTCAATAGCCATTCAATGTGGTTTCTTCAGTTCTTGTTTCGGGACATAAAATCCATACAATCAAACACATTTTTCACGGGGAATATGTCTCACTTGTGGTTAGAATATTAAGAACTCATTTCGTCATGATAATCTGCAAAATCCGAAAACCAAAATTGAGCACTGATTCCATTTTTAAAACCGAATGTCTTTTGTTTTTCTGACCAGCCAAGCAACGGTCCCTCCAACAGTTGCTACAAAATGCCCCAAACGCAAGGCTACAATAAACGTCGGAAGCGTTACGTCGGTATGTCACGTGACATCGTCCATGCTGAAAGAGGTTTGACAGCACGAACCAGGATTAAGCTGAAGTACAACTAAAACATCACGTGGTAAGTCTTATTCAGGGTCAGAGGGGCCCAGTACTCATGTATTGTCACGGACAGCATCTGTAGTACAGGTCACTAAACACCGTTATGGAAGCCTCAGCTGGTGTGATAACAGTGTGACAGTGAGGGGCCGATGTTCCCACCCTCAATATGATGGGGCATTGAGTTGATTGCTCAATATTTCACCCACAACTCCCCCGTGGACTAACGTCAGTATCATGTATATTAGCTTGTCAAAGAAGGTCCTGCACAGTAGACTAACGTCAGTATCATGTATATTAGCTTGTCACAAGAAGGTCCTGCACAGTAGACTAACGTCAGTACCATGTATATTAGCTTGTCACAAGAAGGTCCAGCACAGTAGACTAACGTCAGTATCATGTATATTAGCTTGTCACAAGAAGGTCCTGCACAGTAGACTAACGTCAGTATCATGTATATTAGCTTGTCACAAGAAGGTCCTGCACAGTAGACTAACGTCAGTACCATGTATATTAGCTTGTCACAAGAAGGTCCTGCACAGTAGACTAACGTCAGTATCATGTATATTAGCTTGTCACAAGAAGGTCCTGCACAGTAGACTAACGTCAGTATCATGTATATTAGCTTGTCACAAGAAGGTCCAGCACAGTAGACTAACGTCAGTATCATGTATATTAGCTTGTCACAAGAAGGTCCAGCACAGTAGACTAACGTCAGTATCATGTATATTAGCTTGTCACATGAAGGTCCTGCACAGTAGACTAACGTCAGTATCATGTATATTAGCTTGTCACAAGAAGGTCCAGCACAGTAGACTAACGTCAGTATCATGTATATTAGCTTGTCACAAGAAGGTCCAGCACAGTAGACTAACGTCAGTATCATGTATATTAGCTTGTCACAAGAAGGTCCAGCACAGTAGACTAACGTCAGTATCATGTATATTAGCTTGTCACAAGAAGGTCCTGCACAGTAGACTAACGTCAGTATCATGTATATTAGCTTGTCACAAGAAGGTCCTGCACAGTAGACTAACGTCAGTACCATGTATATTAGCTTGTCACAAGAAGGTCCTGCACAGTAGACTAACGTCAGTACCATGTATATTAGCTTGTCACAAGAAGGTCCTGCACAGTAGACTAACGTCAGTATCATGTATATTAGCTTGTCACAAGAAGGTCCTGCACAGTAGACTAACGTCAGTATCATGTATATTAGCTTGTCACAAGAAGGTCCTGCACAGTAGACTAACGTCAGTATCATGTATATTAGCTTGTCACAAGAAGGTCCTGCACAGTAGACTAACGTCAGTATCATGTATATTAGCTTGTCACAAGAAGGTCCTGCACAGTAGACTAACGTCAGTATCATGTATATTAGCTTGTCACAAGAAGGTCCTGCACAGTAGACTAACGTCAGTACCATGTATATTAGCTTGTCACAAGAAGGTCCTGCACAGTAGACTAACGTCAGTACCATGTATATTAGCTTGTCACAAGAAGGTCCTGCACAGTAGACTAACGTCAGTATCATGTATATTAGCTTGTCACAAGAAGGTCCAGCACAGTAGACTAACGTCAGTATCATGTATATTAGCTTGTCACAAGAAGGTCCTGCACAGTAGACTAACGTCAGTACCATGTATATTAGCTTGTCACAAGAAGGTCCTGCACAGTAGACTAACGTCAGTACCATGTATATTAGCTTGTCACAAGAAGGTCCTGCACAGTAGACTAACGTCAGTATCATGTATATTAGCTTGTCACAAGAAGGTCCTGCACAGTAGACTAACGTCAGTATCATGTATATTAGCTTGTCACAAGAAGGTCCAGCACAGTAGACTAACGTCAGTACCATGTATATTAGCTTGTCACAAGAAGGTCCTGCACAGTAGACTAACGTCAGTACCATGTATATTAGCTTGTCACAAGAAGGTCCAGCACAGTAGACTAACGTCAGTATCATGTATATTAGCTTGTCACATGAAGGTCCTGCACAGTAGACTAACGTCAGTACCATGTATATTAGCTTGTCACAAGAAGGTCCAGCACAGTAGACTAACGTCAGTATCATGTATATTAGCTTGTCACATGAAGGTCCAGCACAGTAGACTAACGTCAGTACCATGTATATTAGCTTGTCACAAGAAGGTCCTGCACAGTAGACTAACGTCAGTATCATGTATATTAGCTTGTCACAAGAAGGTCCTGCACAGTAGACTAACGTCAGTACCATGTATATTAGCTTGTCACAAGAAGGTCCTGCACAGTAGACTAACGTCAGTATCATGTATATTAGCTTGTCACAAGAAGGTCCTGCACAGTAGACTAACGTCAGTATCATGTATATTAGCTTGTCACAAGAAGGTCCTGCACAGTAGACTAACGTCAGTATCATGTATATTAGCTTGTCACAAGAAGGTCCTGCACAGTAGACTAACGTCAGTATCATGTATATTAGCTTGTCACAAGAAGGTCCAGCACAGTAGACTAACGTCAGTACCATGTATATTAGCTTGTCACAAGAAGGTCCTGCACAGTAGACTAACGTCAGTACCATGTATATTAGCTTGTCACAAGAAGGTCCTGCACAGTAGACTAACGTCAGTACCATGTATATTAGCTTGTCACAAGAAGGTCCTGCACAGTAGACTAACGTCAGTATCATGTATATTAGCTTGTCACATGAAGGTCCAGCACAGTAGACTAACGTCAGTACCATGTATATTAGCTTGTCACAAGAAGGTCCTGCACAGTAGACTAACGTCAGTACCATGTATATTAGCTTGTCACAAGAAGGTCCTGCACAGTAGACTAACGTCAGTATCATGTATATTAGCTTGTCACAAGAAGGTCCTGCACAGTAGACTAACGTCAGTATCATGTATATTAGCTTGTCACAAGAAGGTCCTGCACAGTAGACTAACGTCAGTATCATGTATATTAGCTTGTCACAAGAAGGTCCTGCACAGTAGACTAACGTCAGTACCATGTATATTAGCTTGTCACAAGAAGGGCACAGTAGACTAACGTCAGTATCATGTATATTAGCTTGTCACAAGAAGGTCCTGCACAGTAGACTAACGTCAGTATCATGTATATTAGCTTGTCACATGAAGGTCCAGCACAGTAGACTAACGTCAGTATCATGTATATTAGCTTGTCACAAGAAGGTCCTGCACAGTAGACTAACGTCAGTATCATGTATATTAGCTTGTCACAAGAAGGTCCTGCACAGTAGACTAACGTCAGTACCATGTATATTAGCTTGTCACAAGAAGGTCCAGCACAGTAGACTAACGTCAGTATCATGTATATTAGCTTGTCACATGAAGGTCCTGCACAGTAGACTAACGTCAGTACCATGTATATTAGCTTGTCACAAGAAGGTCCTGCACAGTAGACTAACGTCAGTACCATGTATATTAGCTTGTCACAAGAAGGTCCTGCACAGTAGACTAACGTCAGTATCATGTATATTAGCTTGTCACAAGAAGGTCCTGCACAGTAGACTAACGTCAGTATCATGTATATTAGCTTGTCACAAGAAGGTCCAGCACAGTAGACTAACGTCAGTATCATGTATATTAGCTTGTCACAAGAAGGTCCTGCACAGTAGACTAACGTCAGTATCATGTATATTAGCTTGTCACAAGAAGGTCCTGCACAGTAGACTAACGTCAGTATCATGTATATTAGCTTGTCACATGAAGGTCCTGCACAGTAGACTAACGTCAGTACCATGTATATTAGCTTGTCACAAGAAGGTCCTGCACAGTAGACTAACGTCAGTATCATGTATATTAGCTTGTCACAAGAAGGTCCTGCACAGTAGACTAACGTCAGTACCATGTATATTAGCTTGTCACAAGAAGGTCCTGCACAGTAGACTAACGTCAGTATCATGTATATTAGCTTGTCACAAGAAGGTCCTGCACAGTAGACTAACGTCAGTATCATGTATATTAGCTTGTCACAAGAAGGTCCTGCACAGTAGACTAACGTCAGTATCATGTATATTAGCTTGTCACAAGAAGGTCCTGCACAGTAGACTAACGTCAGTATCATGTATATTAGCTTGTCACAAGAAGGTCCAGCACAGTAGACTAACGTCAGTATCATGTATATTAGCTTGTCACATGAAGGTCCTGCACAGTAGACTAACGTCAGTACCATGTATATTAGCTTGTCACATGAAGGTCCTGCACAGTAGACTAACGTCAGTATCATGTATATTAGCTTGTCACAAGAAGGTCCTGCACAGTAGACTAACGTCAGTATCATGTATATTAGCTTGTCACAAGAAGGTCCTGCACAGTAGACTAACGTCAGTATCATGTATATTAGCTTGTCACAAGAAGGTCCTGCACAGTAGACTAACGTCAGTATCATGTATATTAGCTTGTCACAAGAAGGTCCTGCACAGTAGACTAACGTCAGTACCATGTATATTAGCTTGTCACAAGAAGGTCCTGCACAGTAGACTAACGTCAGTATCATGTATATTAGCTTGTCACAAGAAGGTCCAGCACAGTAGACTAACGTCAGTATCATGTATATTAGCTTGTCACAAGAAGGTCCTGCACAGTAGACTAACGTCAGTATCATGTATATTAGCTTGTCACAAGAAGGTCCTGCACAGTAGACTAACGTCAGTACCATGTATATTAGCTTGTCACAAGAAGGTCCTGCACAGTAGACTAACGTCAGTATCATGTATATTAGCTTGTCACAAGAAGGTCCTGCACAGTAGACTAACGTCAGTACCATGTATATTAGCTTGTCACAAGAAGGTCCTGCACAGTAGACTAACGTCAGTATCATGTATATTAGCTTGTCACAAGAAGGTCCAGCACAGTAGACTAACGTCAGTATCATGTATATTAGCTTGTCACAAGAAGGTCCTGCACAGTAGACTAACGTCAGTACCATGTATATTAGCTTGTCACAAGAAGGTCCTGCACAGTAGACTAACGTCAGTACCATGTATATTAGCTTGTCACAAGAAGGTCCTGCACAGTA